GTTTTCTTGGCTATCGGAACCGTTCTGATTGGTATTTGACTCATATTGATGAATACCGTCTGTATGTTGGGCCCATTTGCATATAAATTTATCACAGCGTAAAGACAGAAAGAAGCTGATCGAAGGAAAATTATTGAAAGCAGCCACGTGATTATAACAGGTGGAAGCAGAATCGGGAAAGCGTGCGGGAGTTGTTCACATTTTTAATTAAAACACCCTTTTCCCGGGCGCGTTGCATTTAAAGCAGCGTGAAACGTCCCATATTTCCATGGAGGAGTACCTTTGTTTGACCGCCTTCACTTCAAGCTTCTCATTCGAGCATTGTCGTTGGCGACCACAACAGATGTAGTTTGTTGGAGGGCTAAAGCATGACCCGATACATTCAGACATATTTCCGTATATCGACAAATATGGGATGGAAATAGCATGGACGAGATATGCATGACTAGAGAAAACGTAAAAATGTGGTGTCATCAGCATGACATTTATGTCAACACTACCATTGCTTTGACTTATACAGCGTTGTCTGACTTCCGCGCATCACCTTGTTTTACGCTCTTTCGGCGTAGAGACTTCTGTGATATGAACACAGAGTTCATAGTTCGTTTATTAAGCGGGCTTCCACGTGGCAGCTACTCTGCACACAGCATGCTTTATACAAGAACGCCAAGACACAAAAGTATGAGAGAAACGCATTTCTAAGGTCGGCATAAATGCACACACACACACACACACACACACACACACACACACACACACACACGCACACACGCACACACGCACACACGCACACACGCACACACGCACGCACGCACGCACGCACGCACGCACGCACGCACGCACGCACGCACGCACGCACGCACGCACGCACGCACGCACGCACGCACGCACGCACGCACACACACACACACACACACACACACACACACACACACACACACACACACACACACACACACCTATACGGGTTTGCGGGGCGAAGTCGGGACCCCATCGAAATGTGGCGAAGCGAGGACCGGTTCGACGCCCCTTTACATTGGTCGCAGGACGATGGGAATAAGTTCATTGATACCCGGGAGACGAGTAGGTTGCGATGGCAAACATATTAAAGGGCTGCGCACGACGGAAACGAACCCGTGTAATGCAGTGAAGTAGGGACCAATTGGCATGACGTCACAATGACGTCACGGTTTACACAAACCGCAATGTAGGGACCGGCTCCTATTTTGCTTGGTGTATCCGACATCTTATAGTTTTTATCATTTAGCGGTGTTATATATATATATATATATATATATATATATATATATATATATATATATATATATATATCGATCGCTTAACCTTGCACCCCGTGCCGCGCTGGGGTACTCAGCCAGTTACACCGTCGTCGCGATTCTCTCTGGGGGTTTCCGAATCTGAGTTATACATTCATAGCATTGAACCACCCAGGTTTTGTTATTAATCCAAACCAAAACTGACAAGCATTGGGAGAAGACAAACGAGGCCCTGGGAGCACTACTATGCTCTGCTTATCGCAAGAAAGAACGGAATTAAAGCTGGTCAATCAATTCGTCACGAGCATCACGCTGAATTTTTTTCAAACTCAAAATTGGTCGGAAGGCCTACAGGACAGCACTGCGGATCTCTCGAAGCAATAGCAGTTTTGGATGTTTGCATTGCTTGCGGCAACTTCATGTTCAAATGGCTGATCGATTTATATATATATATATATATATATATATATATATATATATATATATATATATATATATATATATATGCATATATACTGGCACTGGGGTTATTTTCGTTGGCAATTATTTTTACGTTCTAAATTCATTGCCTACCTTTGAAGCAAGTTGTGCTATACTTTCATTCGGTAATTGCTCCAAACTGGTGCTGTTACATGAATAACATGGGAAAATCCCAAACAGAAAATTAATTCGCTCAGTTTTATTGAAGATATTCCACAAAACGCTGAGTATTCAGCTGCGGATATATGTACAATACATCCAGCTCAAACACCCCACACGTAACTACATGCCACATCCACGTAAACGCTACGAAGTCAGTTGAAATGAACGAAACGGAAACACTTGTCATGATCGATGTGTCATACTGTTCTCATTCATCGTTGTCGCTGCCAGAGTCGGTGCCGGAGTCGCTGCTATCATCGGTTGTTACGACAACCAGTGGGAGATCTTCTAGCAGCCCGCCATTCGTCCAGTACTGCTGCTCCAGCCTTTTGACGTGCCCACAGCACTTACTCCAGTCCTCTGGAGAGACAGCTGCGACACTTGCCTCCACCAGCCGTTCCACCTCCTCCACCCGCCCCGTCAAGTTCCCCCGTCTTATCACGCGCTTCATCTGTGCCCACACTAACTCCATGGGGTTCAAGTCGCAGTGATACGGCGGCAGGCGAACGATCCGATGACCATGATTTCTAGCAAGGTTGTCCAGAAAATATTCCTTCTTCCGGTTCTGGGACTTGACTAGCTCCAGCAGCTCCACCTTCCGCATCTCCTCGTGCATGGTCACACCTGCCTGCTGCAACCACTCCTGGATTTCCGCTTTACGCCAGCTAGAAGTTGGCACTTTTGGGCACAAACGGGAGTGATATCAGGCATTATCTGTGATGATCACAGAGTGCTCGGGCACGTTCGGAAGCAGGCACTCGGTGACCACTTCTCGTAGCAGTTCTCGTAGCGTAGCAGTCGGCGTGCATCGACGTATGATAGTTGGCGTTCTTGCCATCGGTCCTGAGGTGGAGAAATGCGCCCGGTATAAATCCTTCTGAAGGGCCGGCATGAACTATGATAAAACGTTCTCCTTTTCCAATGGCGTTCTTCCGTCCGTTAATTTGATTGCCGTCCAGCCACGCCAAGTCCTCCATATCGTACTGATTATACCACGTCTCGTCGGTATAAATGATTTTGCTATGGGGAGCTTCTCTACGCAGCCTCCTCATCTCCCGCAAGAACTGGCATCTCGTTGCTGCAATATGAGGTTTCTCGATCAGAATCTCGCACTTGTCGATCCTTCCGTACTTAAATCCGTTCGCGAGTAGGTGTTTTCTTGCGGTGGATCTAGACATGGTGACGCCGAGCTGTTCGTGAAGAGCATCCGTGATGGCGTCCAGAGTAACATATTTTCCGTCGATGTACATTTGCTGCACCATTCTCATCATCGCGCAAACATCGAACGGATCTAGATTCACCCTTGGTCTTGCTGCAGCTGGTCGGGATCGGCTTGGAGATTTCATTCTGGCACCATTCTGGGCTTCACGTTGTATGCGGTAGACTGTAGTCTTCCCAACGCCCGTTACAGCTGCAGTTCTTAATAATGGACTCTCCCGGACGGCGTCGTCGTCTCCCGCCTTCAACTTCATGTCCCAGTCTTCGACAAAATGTTGATACACATTATAAACAATTTCCCTGCTTTGAGCCCCAAGAATCCTTCCAGACGCTAGATTAGATTTTTCATTCTTTGGTAAGTAAGTACTAAAACATATCAAAGATATAAAAAGACAATGAAATATACAAGTAAAACAATATAAAAACTTTTCACCGCGTGAAACATTACCGCAACACCAAAATGACGCCGGTCATGACACCGGTAATTTTTGGTCTACAGCACACTCGAATAATGACCCACGCGCAAAAAAACTGTGCAAAATCGTTGGCAGCACTTTAATTCCGTTCTTTATTGCGATAAACGGAGCACAATAATGTAGTATCGTACGCCGCGCCCAGGGTCATTTTTCTGTTGCAGTGTCCAGAAAAAATTACACATTCAAAAATGTCAGACAGCGAAACATGTATTTTCCTGTATCGGTGAGCGCGTTAAACGACGCATACTTCACAATACGCTTGCTCCAGAGAAGATGAAGGTATACACGACATGGTCATGTTTACAATGGGTACAGACAACTATGGTATTCAAACAGACATTTTAAATGTCCGTACTACGACTACTTTAAAACGATGTTACATGCGCGGGGCGTTTGCTCTTTCACATCGCGTGCCGCAGAAGAATGCAATGAACTCTCTTCACTCTGTCACTCAACATTAAAGTTAAAGTTCTACTAACTTAAATGTATTTGGATATCTAGTTTTCAGTGAATATCCCCGAACACCAAAAATGAGCGCTGCTTCATTTATAGCCAGACGATTCAATATTATGTTTCACATTTCATGGTGCTGCAGAAGGCATTGAGAAAACAGCATAACCAACGCAAACTACCTCGCTTCGAAACTAGCGCAGTGCAAATTTAAATTGTTATTTGAATGTTATAGTTATATTGGCCCGTGCTGCGCTCACTTCCATTATTCACATTGAAGCACAAATCCGTGTGGCCCCAGGTATCGAGAAAAACGTGAGCATACTGGTAATATACTGGTATATTAGCGGCTCTCGAGTTCACCAACACAAGACAGCTTATGTCAAGAACTTTTCCACATGCCACCAACGCTTAAGTTGGTCTAGTCTGATCTGAACAATGCAGCTGGTAAAACCTTGAGCACAGGTCAAAGAACGGCCTCAACGGGTGGCTGCCCTTGACTGTTTGCATATTACTGCAGCATGGTGAAACTAGTCTCACAGATTCAGGCTACGCCTATGTTTTACGACGAGGTTATATGTACAGTGCTTCACGTCGGTCCAGGAGCGACGACACAAATCTGGCTCGGCGTGCAAAGCGGCGATGCAATCGGCCATACCGGGACAGGTCAAGTCGCTCATAGACCTGGACATCTGACTCAATTGCTTGCATTTCACGAACGGTCCATGAGATCTTTCGTATCTTTCTCTCGGGGACAGGAAGGCGGTTAGTGGAATGTCTAGTGGAAGGTGAGCCCTGATCATCACGTCCACCACTTTCAGGCATCACATCACATTCTGTCTTCTGCCGTTTACGTTTTCCTTTTTCCTCTTCACTTTCTTCCATTTGTCGTTTTGGTCCTTTCGCCTCATTGTCGTAGCTCTCACCTAGGTCTTCAACCACGCTCTTGTCTTCATCACTTGTGCAGGGGTCGAGTTTTTCCAACGCCTTACCAACGTATGCACTGCCAGGCTTCTTCATTGCCAGGAGCAGCTCGCTGACTTAAACGCCATACACCGTCCGCTCGGGCAAGCGGTAATATTCCCGATGAGCCCTGATGTCATGTCCCATGAACCTCGCGACAACGTCCAGTTCCGTTTCGCTCAAATGCAAAAGTTGTATCATTGTTGCGATATGCTTTCGCATAGATGTAGCTGTCACATTCACAACTTCTGCACGCTCAGCAAACTGAGAAATACACTTGCTCCCACTCAGTGGCTGGGCGTCCTTGGCTGCATCACCAGTGAAAACGTACGGACTGCTTTCATGAATGCCAGAAGCCTCTCTGGAGGCAACCAGAAGGTCAAGGACCTCGGTTATCCTGCCTTTCAGGAGCATTGGGACCTCTCTTCCTCGCTTTCTGCGTATCTTTACGTGACCTAGGGTTGTGCATAGTTCGCGTTCGAGCACAGACAAATCATCAGTAATATCCTTATTAACTTCGTAGGTTTTCGCCCGATAATCATCCACCGTCAGTCGTTCTGTTTCACCAGGCCTCCGCCGATTAAACGAGATCAGCGAAGTGAGCGCAGCTTGAGCCAGCTTGTCGCAGTTGACCAGACTGGTTGTTTCTTGCAAGCTATCCCTCACTTTCTCCATGGCACCGTCTATTTCCAGTTACAGGCGCAGTGCATCGTCATTTTTTGGCAGTTTTTCAACCTTGTTCCACCGCCTCTCATGCAGGGTGCCAAGCGCGCGGCTGGAAACCATCACGTTCCAGTCAGATTTGTACAGTTCCACGAAAGTCGTACCTATACATCTTTTGAAATGTTCCTCCACTGGCAGCAAGGAACTGATTCAAGAACTAAGCTGGTTGAATCAATTTTTGACACTCATCTAAGCGAGGGGATATACTCCCAATTGGGTCTGAAACTGAGAGCTATGTAAGGGATAGCCTTCGCCTACTGTAATTGGTTATATAGCGACCTGAAGTGGCATGAAACAGTACAACCTTTGCAGGTCAAATATGTTTGTTGACCCCACTAGCCTTACCTGATAATTGCGTTTCCTCTTCTGTACACGAGTAAAAAAGAATTTCCTCCGTCGCATGGTTCTGGAACACAAAGAACACTGCAATTTCAAGGGACCCTCTGAGTTCCCACCAGACTTGTGCGGTGGCAAAAATCGGGATCTGGGATATGCAAGATGCTACTACAAACCAAAATTTCAAGACACAAGATGCACAGGATCTCATGCAAATACATTCACAGAATCCCAAGGCAATACACATCCTACAGATCCAAGATCCATTAGGATCCCACAGTTGCAGCATATTTAGCAGTGAAAATTGAACAAGCATTTCAGTCACTCCTATCTGGTTCCATATTCATATACAATTATCTTAATGGGTAATATGATATAGTTCCTTTCATTTCTGAAGAAGTGTTTTTAAAGCAATACCAGAACAACTAAAATGCAAAAACAAAATACCCCATTTCAGAGGTTTAAAAAAAGGAACACGACCTCGCAGAGACTGATTTTCACAATAAAATGTCAGACATGTGTGCACATGTTAGATAAATCTTGCTAACAAATCAGGCAACTTTGTTCCCTTAAAAGGAAATAGTTCACCCTAAGAAATATTCTTTAACACATATCTTAACTTCACCAAAAAAGGTAATTTTTTGAAGGGAGCAAAATCTTTTGGTCCTCTTAGAGAGCAGAAAATGATCCAAGTTCCAACACTGTGGCTCATCCAATCAATGCTGAAAGTGGTGGAGAAGCATCAATTTGATTGGCTGATGAGCTAATAGGCTGTTATTCTGCCCAGGATTGGCTGATTATGTAGTGTCTGCTGATGGGCCTATAAGCACAATTTCCCTGCACTCTTTCATGTGAACTTCATTTCAAGTTCTCAAGTTCAAAGCTCTTTGGCTGGAAAGTGCTTTCAACCAGAGCAGCAGGGTGGGGGGCTAACACTGTCTACAAGGTGACTATCTCAGTTCTATTCCCCATGTTGAAGGTTAATTAATTTCTTCAAGCTTTCTTACTGGCTCAATAGGAATATGAAATCACACTGTATATGGACACCTTAACCTGTCACAGACTTGATGCTGCAATAGCAAGTAATGTCCACAATGATTGTTAGTGAGTATGAATTACACAGACAAGGGGCCACAAAGGTGCAGCTAATTTTTGGTATTGACACAGACACTATTTAGTTGCTTTAATAATGGGAAACTGGTGCATGCAAGGGGGAGGAGGTGATTCCGTCAACCCCTGAAGTAATAAACATGAGTCTTTATTTAATAGCATGTGTATATTCAAAGACACAGCCATATTCCATTTAAAATACGCACTTGTGGACCCCAAGGGGGACAGTCTGTGCTTTAGAAAAATGACTGAAATTGGTGCAAAATTGGCACACGTTTATGAATAGGAGAAAATTTAAGAAATTTCAGTGTTTGCATTAGCGGCAAAAGTCCTGGAGAATACCCCACACCCTTCTCCATTTTCAAAGAAAAGTGGGTTTGACAATTACTTTGGGCATTTTTAACCTAGCCTCATCTAACAACTCAAACCAAACAATACACAATCTAACCAAACATGGCACAACATAGCACTGCTTTCTCATATCAGATGGGGTATGGGAAAATAACTTAATAATTGGTTTGCAATCAAATTGATCATCATAGTAATGTTAACCATGACAGAATAACATGAGTAACATATTAAAGTTAAAGATAAATCAGAAAAAGGTACACATCTATACCAATACCATTTTAACTTGGCTAGAGAGGCATAATCACCAAAATCTGAGTTTCAAAAACCATGCAGTATTGATACACTGTCCCCCAGACTGCTGATAACCCATAAACAAACTTTTGGATCTGCCTGTGCATGGATTCAATGAGCTTACTATAATCTATGCCTATTGAATTGCAATGACGACAGAAGCTGCGACTAATCGCTTCACAACCAAACTGCTGGCTTGCCACATAACCTACAAAAGAGCCACCTCTTCTATTATATAAACTGTGCGAGCCTCGTTTCTTACAACAAATATGAATTCATACTCACCTAGAGTTTGTCAACCGGTTCCTCACTCCACGGATCGCTATTTCTTAATCGCACTTCCTTCCCTTACCGGTCACGATAACGCGGAAGTCGGTTCGTGGGAATAGGGATGGCCTTGAAGGAACGGCACCAGGTAAGGTAACTGATCTGGTACTTACATAATCTGTCTGATAGCAGCACCGGCTAGCGAATGGTTTTTTAACAACCAAGGAACAAAATATTATCTTCTAAATAAAGTTCCTTCGATCTTAATTTAAATTACTATGAAAAAATCGAAGTATGCCATCTTTACAAATGATACTTACAACATAACCAAACATTGCTTTGTCCATCACATGATTACGGCTCCTGATTGGTTGATACTACTGCGTTCAGCCAATTAGCGCGCGCTACACAATGACGTCGCACATTTCCGCGGGAATCTTCCCGTAGCGGCCGGCGGATTTGTGTAAAGGGAGGGGTGGTCACGTGACCAGAGGATAAACACAAGTTGATTAAACCCCACTTCCTGGGGACCGGTCTGAGATTGATAGGAGCGTCGTCTGATGAGTTGAGAAGCATCACCCAATGGTCAACAAAGTGGGGACCGATTTTTCGGTCCCGACTTCGGAACGGTCCCCACTTGGCGTACGTTTAGCGGGCGTTTGTCCCGACTTCGCCGCAAAGACAAGTACACACACACACACACACACACACACACACACACACACACACACACACACACACACACACACACACACACACACACACACACACACACACACACACACACACACACACACACACACACACACACACACACACACACACACACACACACACACACACACACACACACACACACACACACACACACACACACACACACACACACACACACACACACACACACACACACACACACACACACACACACACACACACACACACACACACACACACACACACACACACACACACACACACACACACACACACACACACACACACGTCGCACTACTCAGTCACAGTTAGTCTTAAAACAGACAAGAAGGTACGCTGTGATGGAGCGTGGGCGGCTGCCGGGGGCAAGCAGCTCCATGCGGCATCCGCCCGGCACGGAAACAGCCGCTGAGCGACAGCCAATCTGACGCGATCTAGGTGCAGTGAACCGTTACCGCGGACCACAACTGGGGTATGGCGCTGGGATGCCTGCGCGCGTGTACAAAAAAGCGAACGCAAAGCGGCAGGCGCCCCGCTGACGTCCTGTGCTCGGCACACATTGTCACAGTCACGTCGGCGCACCTTCTCCGCCACACCGCGCCATCCCAGTGCTTCTAATGCAGGCGTAATGTGGTCGCAGCGGCGGATGCCCGTCACCGCCCGAGCGGCAAAGTGGATTACCTTTCGGGCCCGGTCCAGATGGCAGTCGGTGGCGGCTCCACACGGAGACAGAACTGTATGCCTGGGAAAAAGTACGCACAAACGAGAAGCTCCAAAACATCGCGGGTGAGGTGATGCCGAACCTTGAACAACGACACGAATGTGGCGTTGCAACGTCAAACGACCGTGACGATGTGGGCCTCCCAGGTCAAGTGCTGGTCGAATACCTTCACCCAGTACTTTCACTGTTGTTTAGGGGCAGCAAGTCGAGCCAGAAATGTTAATGTGAAAGTTGCCGGTCTTTTGAATGCATCATTTTATTCCGATTAGAGTCCGTGTGTTTTGTGTTTTTGTGATTAATGATTAGATGTGTGTTTATGTGTGAGTGATTAGATGTCAACAAAGCGATTAGATGGCCGTCTTCTCGGAGCTCGTTTTTGGGCTGTTTGATTGAAACCAAACTTGGAGACTTTGCATGGACTCCTCGACGCGGGGTTTGGGGTGGGACAGGCCGATGAGATCGGATGTGGGCCTATCGAGGATCTGGGTTTCATCGGCGTAGAATAGGAGGCAACCATGGGGGAGGAACCTGGAGAGGTCGTTGGTAAAGATGAGGAACAGGATGAACTCGACGAGACATCCCTGAGCCACACCGTGTGACAGCGATAACGGCCCGGAGTCGCCCACCACGTGCCTCCGGCCGCGTAAATGACTCCGGAATCATCCGGAGGCTGCACCACACCATTCCAGCCTATCATATTATATATATATATATATATATATATATATATATATATATATATATATTTATATAGATATATATTAGGACGGTAATAATATATACGTGTTGGTCCTTATTATATATTATATTATAAAACAGCGTCAAGCACGGCGTTCTCCGTAGAATAACACGTTTGAGATGCGTAATGTTAAGGCGAAAGTAAGTGGTGGTTGAGCAAGTATAAGGTGAGTTGACCACACACGACTTCTTCGATGATTTTTGGTATCGCGGAGAGGATGGAGGTGGGTCGAAAGTTGTTAGGATCTGCTAGGTCACCTTACTTGGACGCGGAAGCGATAGGTGGAATTTCTATGCATCGGGAAAAGTAGGTGAGACGATAAAACAGCTCATCACGTGAAGTAGGTGCGAAACGATCACCGGAGGACACTCACTGGCAGCCAGCACAGGGACACTATCGACACCGAACGCTTTGGACGTGCTCAGCTGGCTGATGGTTACGGACAGCTCGGGCATGGTTGCCGGGCGCAGATCGAGGGCTGAGGTACAGGCGCAGTACGGTCGCGGCCCGGCCTGGGGCTGGTCGGCACCGCCGGGCGCGGATCGAGGACTGAGGTACAGACGCAGTACGGTCGCGGGTCGGCCGGGCCTGGTCGGCACCGCCGGGCGCGGATCGAGGGCTGAGGTACAGACGCAGTACGGTCGCGGGTCGGCCGGGGGCTGGTCGGCACCGCCGGACGCGGATCGAGGGCTGAGGTACAGACGCAGTACGGCCGCGGCCCGGCCGGGGGCTGGTCAGCACCGCCGGGCGCGGATCGAGGGCTGAGGTACAGACGCAGTACGGTCGCGGCTCGGCCGGGGGCTGGTCAGCACCACCGGGCGCCACTGCGGCCTCCGCTACTATGAGGGGGCCCACGGCTGCGAAGTGGGCGTTGAAGGCATCGGAGCGGGCATTCAGGTGGTCAAGGGGCCCGTCTCCTCCCTTGGCTGGCCGCAGGATGAACTGCGTCGTGCGATTCCAAAAGTCTCTCCTGTCAGTCAGCGGACTGTCGCACAGGAATGAGCGCCGTGTGGCGGTCATCGGGCCTTTCACTCGGTTCCTGCACTGTATGTGCTCGCGCTCCGTGTCGAGGGTGCGATGGCGCTGCCAGGCTAGGCGCGCCTCGTCACGCTCCTCCCTGGCCGCTGCGATCTGGAAGTCACCGCGCAGCCACGGGCAGCTTGGCCGGTGTGACATCATGGCGACGGGCGGGCAGTGCATGTCGGCGCCTGCGTTCCAGATCTGCATGAACGCGACAAGTTTCTCGTCCACTGTGCCGACGGTATACAGCGCCCCCAGTCCGCGAGCGAAAGGCTCAAGCAGGGCGCGTCCCAATCGACGCGTCCCCAAGTGCGAACCGTGGCCGCGGAGGGCCGTCGGTGCAGTCGGGAGCGGAAGCACACAGTAATACCGGCTGGTGGTCGGCGACAGAGTCCGGCAGGACACCAAGAAGAACACAAACACCAGCCTTTTGTTCAATGGTGTTGGCAAAATTGTACGTTCTTGGTGTCGGCAAAAGTCAGTGCTTCGAGCATAAACGCGCGACCGGGTGGCCGGTTGGATACCCCCGCTCGGGTGGGGGTCAATTTGACCCCCTGAGATCTCAGGAACTAAGAAAGCTAGAGACACCAAATTCACAAAGTGTATTGACCTGTACGTGAACTCACTTCCGTCAAAGTTTGAAGTTCCCGGGTCATGACCTTCTGGTCAGATATGGTTAGACAAGGCCATATTCCAGGCTGGTCTCCAAAGGGCCCCGAGAATCTAGATAACTGTTGTAAGCAAAAGGTCACACGCTCATTGAAGATGAGTGACCTTGTTTGACTTTTTGAAGGTCATGGTGACCAAAATCATACAATGCTGTTTTGAGTTTTGCATTTGAATAAGCAACAAAGATTACGCTAGGCAGTATGCTCCGAAAAAACAAAATCTTGACCCGGGTCATTTTAGGTCAGTGACCTATCCTGACTTTTGAGAAATACATGGAAGATGTATGATGCTGTTACTGTTATCAATAAGTTATAAATCAGCACCAGAATCTACCCAATATCCTAGAGTAATGAAATAGGTTGGTTTTTACCTTGGTGTGACCTTCACATCTGACCTTAGGTCAAAACAATTTGTTAATTCAATCATTGTGTTGCCTAAGAAAGTATCTGGAGGTTTATGGCGTCGTCTAACTCTCCGATTTTTGGATCAGATTGAACGATTCCCAATAATTGCCTTCGCTAAAACTATGGCCTGACTTTGATCTGGCATAGGTCAGTGACCTTACAAGGCACATATATTTTGTTCTGCGCGACGATCCGCTACTTATGTGTCTACAGATATGCAACATTTGGCTCGGCTACGCCGCGATGTTCGGAAATAGCTCCGGAAAACGTTCGGGGGTCAGTTTGATCCCCTACCCGAGCGCATGTAAAGGTGCAGAACAATGGCGGTGCGCGCACCAGCGTTAACGAACGATTGCGGCACGAAAATTTGCAAAATTTGCAAAATTTGCAATTTGCAAAGAAGCATTCGTGCTAACGAACATCTGCGAAACGAACTTTAACGTTTATGAGCTTTGGCCGTTACCAACATATGCGCAAGGGCATTTACTTGCTGGCATCGGCGATGCAGACATTTGCCATCTGCTCTTGCCACCGTTTTGTATACACAACAGAATCAAAATACCCTGTGTTTAGAATTTAAGACATGCCACGTAGCGTTTGGTGCATAAGCCACTAAAACTGCTCGCTTGACGAATGAGAAAGTGCTAAGACGTATTTTGCGTTTACTTTCGGGGATAAGGTGCCGTTGCGATGATATCAGTGCACACATGATCATCCCATGTTGTTGACCATCCATGTGATAACATTTATCTGTCAGAAAGGCACTCTTATTCAATAAAGCGTGTACGAGCCAGTGCTGCAATCAACATTCCAGGTAGGTGTGTTGGATTTTCTCTGTGTTTACACAACGACTCTTTTTTGCAGGAAGACGAAGGGGAAGTTCATGTCTTGTTACATATACTCCGAAGCACTCACGGAAAAGGAAATTTACAAATACCATCCCAACTATCACAGCAGCGAACAACAGCATGGTATGTTCAAATGATGTTTACTATGTGTATTTTGTCATTTCTTATGCTTCCTACAATTATTTGCTTTCCGGGAATGTACCGTAAACATAGCCTAAGTTTTGCTCGTAGCGGTTAGACGTGATCTGTGTTTACACGTTTGTGTTCATATGACATCCGGGTATTTAATGTAAACAAAGCTCAAGTTTCGCTAGAGGCGCTTGCACATGATCATAACCGTCACGTTGCCGACAACCTAACAGCTCGTAGGCGTTGGATCTCGGGAACATTTACCTCCACAACACGGCTAACCTGTCACCTGAGGAGCTCGGGGAGGCGAGGAAAAGTAGATCGATTTGAGACGATCGTCCACTGATGACATCTGTGTTTTCGCGGACGTCTGATATACATGGGTCGGGACGAAACATCGGCAGCTCGTCCTCGAACAGTGGCGGCGCCAGTAGTACGTACGCATGCCAGTCACTGATTAAGGCCGTTGCGCACCGGCCGCCGCACCAGCCTGCCAGGTGCCTGCAACGCCTGTCCGCGGCGCGTGCGACCGCGCAACTTTGGGTCACCGCACCCCGAGGGGTCAACCTCCTGTTGCAGCAGCCTGCCCAACTACCACGGCATCGGGTGGGCGGCTGCTGTGCACTCTGCTCCTGGGTGGTTTACGATCGGTTGTATAACGCTCTCTGCACTTTTTTGTAGCTATCATCAAGAGAGAAGTCACGTCCTCGGACAAAAACGCGCCGACTGAGATGGCCGACAGCGAGACACTGCCATCACCTAAGAAGCTGCGCCGTAAGCAGCGGTGCTCCGAGGTGGAGTACGAGGATACGCATGGCTCTACCATGATCACAGAGGTGAGAGCCATCTGCCCTTGAGCCTTCGGCACCATGTACAACAAATCACACGGATGGGACGTCGGCTCTATCTCCCGACACCAATTCTGCTGTCGGAGAGAGAGAGGGAGAGAGGGAGAGAAAGGGTGAAGGAGAGGGAAAGGGAGAGAGGAAGAGAACACGATGGAACAGACAATGAAAGAGAAAAGGAGAGACAGAGAGAGATATTGACCGATATAAATCTGTTTGGACTTATACGTGTGCCAAAATTAGCTTACGATTGCTTTGACAGGGTCAGGCTGACATGACACGTGCACCACGTGGGCTGCCTGACGTGCACCCTGCAAAGTCACATGTTGAGCTACGATTGCACCGCTTAGGCTCAGGGTGTGGTCAACAGCCCCGCTTGACGTGTGCAAACTTAAGATCTCAATCCACCGTTTGTTTGCTGGTGCAGATGGCTAGATGTCTGCGAAGCCTGGCCCTAACTAAACACGTGCTCTCGGGAACGGAAGTGACTGACCCCGTGGATCGGCCAGCTGGCCGGCCAGTGGGGCGGGCCGACCGAACTCTCGGCCACAGTTGCGTCACGGCGACGCCCCCAATTCCGCGCGACCTCGGCTGTCGGCGTCGCCCGCCGCCGGCCCAGGTCGATCCGGTTACGAGCGGAGGGAAGGGGACAGGGGGAGGGGGGGGGGGGGGGGGCGACGGCCTGCATACACGGCACTATCGCAGCCCGGCCGCGGCCCGCCCTGGGCCTGAATCACGCGATGATCGGCCGCCGCCACTGTCGGCACTTCTGGCCACCCCAGGCTAATTACAAGGCTGATTATACATGTGGCCAGATGAAGGGATCGATCAAAGCTGGCAGGTTCGGGTGCGCAACCAGCTGGCATCAGGGAGTGAAACAGCTGGCATCAGGTGCTGATACGGCTCCCCGATTCATTATTAGGTCAGAAAGATCAAAATGCTCCTTTCGCCAGACACACTGGGGCGTTGGGTGACAGAAGCGTACAAGCAGGTGCAGCAACGATGCCATTCTTTAACAAAATTCATGTGTATGGTTCATCGCGCGAGCGAGGGTGCTGCGTTGTGATTCTCATTTGTCCAGTCCGGCCCTGCAGTGTCCGGCTCGGACCGCGGTGTAGCGTATTCTTGTGCTCGTGTTGCGTGATAGATATGGCGGGGTGCACATGTGAACAGCTGACGTGGGTATGCCCCGTAACCTGCAATAGTCGCGGTGCTCACCAATGGGCCATATCGCAGCTTATCAAACTGAAATCGGATATTCACTCAGAGATCCACGTGCCTTAAAACCGATTTGCCGTTTTGGCGTTCTGCTTTGACGTGGACTTTGCTTTGACCTACTTGGAGGCACACTACCAAGATCTTCCACTTTGAGATCCCACTATTAACTCCACTTCCAGTTCAACTCTGACCTTTATTATGACGATACGCTCTGACCTCCACTCTGGCTGTGCATTTTAGTTATGATCCGACTGTCACAACCCTCTGTTCTGAACACTATTCTGACCCTCTTCTATGAACCCCGACTCTGGCATTCATGTTTCACTCTTGATTTCCACGCTGAACTCTACTCTGGTCTTTTTTCTGACCTCCACTCTAATCTTCATTCAGACTTCCGCTCTGGCCACCATTCCGACCACCTTGCATCTTCACTCCGAGACTCAACTCCTATATTCACCACTCTGACTGGACCCTCGCACCTCCACCCCGAGCCTCGGTTCCCAGACCCACCACTCTGACTCGACCCTTTCACCTCCACGCCGAGACTCGACTCCCATACTCACAACTCTGACTCGACCCTTTCACCTCCACGCCGAGACTCGACTCCCATGCTCACAACTCTGACTCGACCCTTTCACCTCCACGCCGAGACTCGACTCCCATACTCACCACTCTAACTCGACCCTTTCACCTCCACGCCGAGACTCGACTCCCATACTCACAACTCTGACTCGGCCCTTGCACCTCCACGCCGAGACTCGACTCCCATACTCACCACTCTAACTCGACCCTTTCACCTCCACGCCGAGACTCGACTCCCATACTCACCTCTCTAACTCGACCCTTTCACCTCCACTCCGAGACTCGACTCCCATACTCACCTCTCTAACTCGACCCTTTCACCTCCACTCCGAGACTCGACTCCCATACTCACAACTCTGACTCGACCCTTTCACCTCCACGCCGAGACTCGACTCCCATACTCACCACTCTAACTCGACCCTTTCACCTCCACGCCGAGACTCGACTCCCATACTCACCTCTCTAACTGGACCCTTTCACCTCCACTCCGAGACTCGACTCCCATACTCACAACTCTGACTCGACCCTTTCACCTCCACGCCGAGACTCGACTCCCATACTCAACGCTCTGACTCGACCCTTTCACCTCCACGCCGAGACTCGACTCCCATACTCACCACTCTAACTCGACCCTTTCACCTCCACGCCGAGACTCGACTCCCATACTCACCTCTCTAACTCGACCCTTTCACCTCCACTCCGAGCCTCGGCTCCCATACTCACCGCTCTGACTCGACCCTGGCACCTCCACTCCGAGCCTCGGCTCCCATACTCAACGCTCTGACTCGACCCTGACACCTCCACTCCGTGCCTCGGCTCCCATACTCACCTTTCTGACTTGGTCCTCCCGTCCGGCAGTGGAAGCTCTCGTGCGACAACGACCATCGCATCCTGGCCTCGACCGTCATCTGCGTGGCCATGCTGCTCGGTGGCATCATGTTCTCTCCCTTCGTCGACAAGGTGAGCGCCCGGTTGATGCCCTGGCGGGCGGGATGCCGCTGTGCAGGCTCCTTTTGCCAGCGATCAGACGGCGAGGGCAGGTGGGCCCTCTTCGTATCCGGAACAAGACGGACAGGAGCCGACTGAGCAGGCGCATCGTTCCAGTTCAGCTTGCACTCCTCACCAGTGCGAGTCAGTGACTCCGTGGAGTGTGTCGGTTTGAACAGGTTCTGTGCACACGGAGAAGTGATGCGCCTCGCTGAGGACTCACCCAAGTTTACAACACGGTCTGCTGCACGTGTTGCGTACTTTGGTAGCTCTGTTGAATCTTGTATGCATGGGAGCTTCAAAGTGCCACAGAGCGTGTCGCGACCGTAATGCTTACCAAAGAGATGATGACAAACAATGCACTATGCCTGAACCTTGAGCATTCAGTGAAGTTGCTCACTGACGTCATTAATGACGGTCCGCCTATTCGAAAATATGAACCTTTACGCATTCCGAACCCCCTTATTATGTGATTGAGTTGGGGGATAGCTGGATTACCACGCACCCATAGCTCGTCTCTGTCTGACGGGAGGCAACTGTCCCGGACCAGGTCTTGTGGAAGGCAGTCTTCTGGCGCGGGTCTGTGATGGACAACTGACGTTTTATTTCCGCGCTTCATCTGCGCGGGCTGAGTTGTCGTGCGCCGGACTCGGAAACGCGTTTACTGCACCGCTGCACATCACGACGGATGTTATAGACGACAGCGCCCCGTCCGGAAACATGCCGGAGAAAGAGTTGGGCAACTAAGTCGAACTTGTCCCCAAACAATTGTAGCGGCAGTGATCACAGAGAGCTCTGGAGAGCCCCATTCGTATTCGTTTAAAAACATCTGCAAGTGGAACTTTTCGGTTTATGAATACTGGATGTGCCCTGCTTGATGCACTTTACTTTCGTGACGAATTCCATTCTGATGTTGCCGTTTAGCTGGCTCGGAAGATCTACGCAGTTTGGCAAAGGTCGCATTCGAATGGGTATCGTAAGAGCGCCGTAAGAGCGCCCCAGGTACACGTCGCGAGTAATGTCTTCATTGCATGCCTGACCCTCTGCATTATGCAACTGACTTGTGCTACACACGTTTGAACCGCGTATCCGGTCTGATCTTGGCAGCAGCCATACATTTCTGTCCCGTTGGTATGGGCGACAATCTGAACAGGACCGTGCATACGTAAATGCGTACACTTGGTGCGCACGTGCGCTTTGCGTCGCGGTGCCATCGGGGACGGGGGCCCGTCGCCACAGTAGTCCGGCCGCTGGCTCCAGACGGTCGGCACGCAGCTGGGACAAGCCTGCGACCCACAACTGTGGATGCACGCAGTGGGAAGGCAAGAGGGCTTGGCTCTGTACTGGTCATGTTTACATCAACTCGTGAGCCCTAGATATCGAACTTATATCTGTACGGACAAAAAGAACGGAAAATTGTCATTTAAATAAAACCCGCCAATCTATAACAGCTCTTAAATGTTGACAAAAAACTTGCATGATAAGGCAGGCAAGCCAGTCTACTTTGCGCGATGCATAATTTGGTTGAGGGGCTTTGCTATAATCAAATAGCTTTATCTGCTTAGCAGTACCGGAGCAAAATTATTGGATAATTCAACTAAGTCGCTGGCGCGACCGGTCCACACAAGCACATTAACCCGAAAATGCTTGCGTACATCAAAAGTGAAAATTTGAGTCGGTACCATATCAACCGTGAAAACTAGATAAAATACCTGACAATGGGGACATTGCAATGCCATCCAGTTTCTAAGCCAACTATCCGCACAATGTTTACAAACATTTATGCAGAGTGAACACTTAATCCAGCTCTCGCGTCGCTGCGTCAAACTTGGAAGGGTACATCCTCACAAGGCGTGCTCAGCCTGACGGGTTGTGCACAGTCACCTTCGAGTCTGAGATGCATCGCTACCTCGATATTGGTTCGTTGTGAGCTTTCGAAACTAAGCTGGGTTATGTCGAAACTTTTGAGGGTCACAACCTGGAAGTTTCAGTTTACCTCTGCACTCCCTCTCATCAAGAGCAGTTCGCTTGTGAGTCAATGTGTAACAGCGACGTGAGCAGAAACTTGTTTAGCTCGACACTCAAAAATAATCATCAGTGGACGTAAACTTCCGCATAGTTTACCAATTTATGGAAACGAAAAGCAACAAAGCTCTATGAATATTAGGAAGAGATAAAGGGGAAACACACACATCAGGCTTCAATAACGCACAAAATACCATAGGGTTCTTCTGCGCAACCGACCAAGCCCAGGTCGCAGTTGGGGCAAGGCATCGGCTGCAGTAAGAGCACGGCAATAGCCTGGCAAAAATGGAAGCAAGCCGTTGCTATTCGAAGCCTCCGTCCACCAGACACAGCCAAAAACTGATAAACCGGCCCGCACACGTTACAGCGGTTGGTTTCTAAGGAAGTGCAAGGATAACACTGAACAGTTGCATGAAGTCGTGGCCGGCGGTGGCGTTAATTTTCATATTGGTCTTCCATATGACTTGACCGTGGTTGCAGAAGCCTCTTTACACAGTGTGAAATGAACCACATGGCGCCCCATGAGCAACAGCGGCATAATGACATCTCTTTCGTTCAATACTCAGGATGACGCGCCTGTGACATTCTTACGTTGTAAGTCTTCAGCGGTCACCATCTTACATTGTAAGTCAGCAAATTGTGTGCTGGCGGATCCCGGGCTGTTATTAGTTCGGATCTAGCCGTCGCGTAGGGAATGCATTAATGACAGTCTTAGACCATGTTTTATGTAGATAGCGCTTGCTTGGATCCCTGGCTGTTGCGAATTCATATCTGGCCGTGCTTGGGGAATGCGCTAGGACATAATCCGGCACCAATTTTCTGTAGATAGTTGAGACAAGTGTTTACGGGCTTGCTCCGATAAGTGACGGAGCTTCTTTGGACGGTTTGTGTTTGCATTTTTTCGAGATTCATCTAACACCATTCATGGAATTCCCTATCCGACCCGACCCCTGGCTGCCGCGACGTCTGACGGGAACCAGGTATGATATGCTGTCCATCAGGGACGAGGGTAACTTGGAAAGCAAACTTAGTCTGTAAGTCAGTTTTTTGTGCGGTGTCATGGGTTGAATCGTTTGCAACTTTCACGGAAATCGGCGGATGCTAACCCACCCCTCCCTTGCCTTCCTGATACGGGTGATAAACCACCCCTCCCCGCCCTCCTGACACGGATGATAGCCCACCCCTCTCTCGCCCTCCTGATACGCTTTTGCGTGGTGGAAGATGGGGGTTCCAAATGATCGAGGAACCCCATGTTATTTGTTTGAAGAGACAATCGTAAGCACATGGGGATACCGATGATTCGCACATTAAGTAAGCGTTGCGATACCACTTCCCAGTTTCGTACCACCTAGGCATACGTCAAAGCTGATGAGGCACAACAGAGCAGTAAAAATAATGATCCGGAAACGTCACTCGAGTCATTCTTCTGTAATGAGCACTCAGAAACCGCACTTGCTACCACTTCAAGTGCCAGTTCTTCCTAATTTCTCCGCTGCCACCTGCCAATGCTCTGCAATGATTCTGTGGCACATTGTATTACATTTCTGTGTTAAGACCCTTTACTGGCTTCGACACACATCCAGTGTAGCCAACAGAAGTGATGTTTACCGTACCAGTGAGCTTTAACAAAAATACTGCATGCATGTGGCCCTCTTATCGCACCCGTTCCAAATTCTGTTTTGCCCAATATGTTTTGTTTCTCTGACATTTTTCAAAACAAGGAGCTCAAATGATGCACTTGATGGTCACTATGGTTCACTTTATTGCCGCAACGAATGAATGAATGGATGAATGACCGCTGCCGGACGCCGGCAAATGCGGCGCGTGCGTGTTTCGTCGTTGTACTTAAAATACTGGCCGCCGGCGGGTGGACAATCAACCTGTGGCGTTTTGACTGCACGAAAATGTGGAACTGTAATCCTTTAGATGAACTTTTTGTGTGGACATTACAGTGCACAGAATGACAAATGAATGGATGATGAATACAGGCAATGAATCAGTGCCTCCGATGGGGTAAATTTCGCCATGATCCTGGCTTCAATTTCCACAGCAGCGTGCTTTGTTCAGCATTGTTTTTCGAAATACCAACATTTCCGGCACGCCCGCCAGTTGTGGGCACAGCCGTGCATCGCTCAAAGTCGTGTTTCACACACGAATTAACGATGGCACGTCGACCGATGCTTTAAAATTTGATTTGCGCCTTTACATGCCCTGGCTGCTGAGCTCTGGCACACAACGTGAAAACGAGCAAAAATGAGCACACCTTTTTTGGCCACGTCTGTGCACGTGACATATGGCACGTGCCACTGCAAACCTGACACCACGCGATTCCCCGTTCAGCTATCTACTTAAATGTGTTAATTCCTTGTCGCTCCGACCCCTAGCTGCCTAGATGTGACCACAATTTTGAACCACTTCTCTTTGACTGTGTCGTCGGTCACATCTTCGAACCGCCCATACAATACCAATGGACCCAAAACGATCCTCCCACCACTTGCCACGCTCGAACCCCAGACCGCAGCGGTTCGCGATCCACCGGTGGAAAACCGTCACGTGCGCTCGCGCGCCGCGTCCAAATGTCACCATTTAGTAATCCGTCGTTTGGCCCTGGAAGGGATTATTTCAGTTTCTGAAGTAAAGTGGTGTCTCGGGACAAGTCACGACGGACGCCTTCAGCTTCAGTGCTCTTTCCGCCTGACACGTTTTGAATACGTCCCCTACGGTTTCTCTGGCCTTCTCCGCTGCTGACCTTGAATGCACTTGACTGTATGGTGCGCGATGTAACTAATAAGACAGTGCGGAAAATCAACAACCACATCTAATAGATGCTGCTCCGCTTCAAGAAAAGCTTAACTTGTTATCTTTACAACTATTCAGGGTATCTGCGCGTCGTGTATCTGCGTGGTGTTGGGGGTACATGTGTTGCTGGCGTGCCTTTCCGTTACAGTGGCTTCATCGCACCCCCAGTGCTGTTGATCAGTGACGAACTCTCTGGCACCTGGCGCGGGACCAGCTAGGTGATAATGGGTGCTCCCCGTACCCAGTGCGTTTGACCTCGAGCACTTTTCGACATCACTGGAGTCTGCAAATAACTCATAAATGAGCCACCGGACAGCTGTTTCTAAAGGTGGTGTTTCTCTTAAGTTCTTCAATTTTTGTTCCATTATTGCCCAGACAAGTCGTACGAGACAGCAATGCGCGCGATGTAACTCACCGGCTACTAACATTGAGTGAAATCAACAGGATTTTAGCCATCCGGAGCTCCAGACGGCCCAGGTGTGCGTCATTATAGCTCTAACAACCTTAGTCTGCTCCCACTCATCAAGGCGTTTGCGCACCTGGACCCGATTGGGACTCTCCTAGATGACATCACCAGCAACGTTATTTATCTGGAGTCATCTGTCCAGTTGACTGAGCCGATCGCCGACCATCTGACCATTATTGTCCGTGCATTGTTAGTCGCCCCGCTGTCGCCCGGCACCTTTCACCGTGCGTCCATGACGCGAGGTAAGCTGGGATGCGCTCTGCCTCGATCTTCTGCGGGCGGTCTGGAGTCCGGTTTACCGGGATGAGGAAATGGAGCAGAAAGTGACAGCGTTCATGCTTCTATGGCGGAGTTTGGTCGATGAGCATTACCCCCTTAAAAGAGGACTTTGAGACCAGGATGGTCACCAATGCTCGTTGGCGAGATTCAATGGCGGCGGCTGTTCAAGCGCTAGGCTGGTGCGGCGTCAGTGGCTTTGTAAACCACCGTGACGACCTCGCCGTATTCAGGGCCCGTAACGACCTAGGTGCTCCGGTGGCGACCCCGTCCCTGTTCACCCCACGTACCGCTCTTTGCCAGCGTGCCATCCGAGCGCCAGTGGCGGGCGCCCTTGATCTGCCAGCTCCTCGCCTGTCGGTGGCATGCAGCGCTTTTTCGTATCACGCGGCCTCATTCTTGAGCCGCCTGCCACCAACCCTCGAGTAATCGCAACGAGTTTTGTACCAGGCTAGAGGATATAAATGGTTCCGTTGTGCAGTCATGCTTGCTTGCCATTGTGTAACACATGTTTAGGACCTATATTTTGATAAGCTGCTTTGTTTTTGACGAAGTTGTGCGAACGACTGGATGGTTGATAAAGTGCGAATGTGGTCGCGTTGTTGTCATGCTTCAATATTGCATTCGTGCTACTATTGTAATTGTACCGCATCAAACAATAAGCCACTTGTGGAAACGATTCATGAATGTAGTGAAGTGAACTGAACTGAATCATTTGCACTGTACATCGGGTGGGATGCTCCGTGATGTCATCATTTTCATTTGTCCTTAAATATATTCTCTTCGTTCCTTTTTGCTCATAATGCATACCCATAATTCATTTGTTTCTGTCGACCAAACTTACGCCAGCAAATGAAGCTAACAATTATGCGGCATCAGTACAGCTAGTCACCCTTGCAAATTTGCCGAAAACCTAAATATGTGACTTACTACCACTTAACTACTTTTACTACTCAATCTGCGATGTTTACTTCCAACTTTATTTAACGCCTGCTAATCACAAAAAAATGTCTCTTAAGCTTCAAATGAGGTGATTGTTGAGCCTATATACTTTGGGGGAGGGAACGGGGAAATTCTGTCTCCCCCTGCCGGTGTTATTCCCTTCGATATCTTTGCTTCGTGTTGACAAAATTTCGAGCAAAAACGGTCATGGATCGTCCTGAGGTTTCATGTCGAGACAGAAGTACGCTAAAAAAAATGGATGTGTTACCGGTTGCGTCAATGTGTTGGTGACTGCAGAAACAATTTTGACCAGCTGGTTAGTAATGAGGTGGTTGCGAATGAAGCGTGTGTGCCAAGTGTGCACTAACGTATAACGGGTATAACATTAGCGCACCGAGGACGGCATAAGCAGCGACAAAAACGTTATGTCTACCATCTCATTGCATAGATTATCGTTCGGCGCACGCTTCCACACATTGAACGGACAACATACGCCAGAGGAGATCCCAGGTACGACAAGTTGACAGACATTGACATTGGCGTTTTAGATAAACCAGATATAAGCAATACAAATTTTCAAAATCACATTTTCGTAAAGGAAGTTACAGGGTAACGAAGGCAAATCACACAAAAGTGTGTAGGTGGCACAGCAGGCAGGGCGGCACCACCCACTTTTGATAGGGGGATGAAATCGTAAAATTATTACGGCACCTGAATACAAAAGAAATGGGTGACAGATCATGTGCTTAATAACTGGCGTTCTCGTAACTCATCAACATCATGCAAACTCCTCATGTTCCCTGTTCTCAGTCCCTGCAATACCGCAAGATATAGGGGCGGGCGGAAGCGGAGATGGAACGGGTCTGGGAACCACAACTTTCCGAAAACCTTTACATTGGCCCTGTGGGCGGTGACTGGAAACGAGTTATCAAAATGGTTATAATTCCCTTTCGCTCCCAACGTGGATGAACGTCCGTTACCTCATCTCAGTGGGGGGAAATATAGCAGTTTTGTAGGCTGGTCTCAGCAGGGCACATCATCATCTAGATCATTTGTAGGCTGGTCTCAGCAGGGCACATCATCATCTAGATCATTTGTAGGCTGGTCTCAGCAGGGCACATCATCATCTAGATCATTTGTAGGCTGGTCTCAGCAGGGCACATCATCATCTAGATCATATAACGCATCCTTGTGAAGCCTGCGTGTGCACGGGCATAAGCTTCACAGAGAGACATTTCACATATTCCCAGCTACACTTTATCTTGGACGCTCAACTCCAAAGGCTTTTGTTCGCTTATAAGAATGATAACAGAGCGTAAGCCCGTCCGCTTATTACGGTGGCGCTTTTAGCACCATCGATATGGCACCCCGACGACCCGCTGCTTCAGAATCACAGGGTGCACATACTTCTTCCATGTTTGTACCCATAGCGTTGCCGTTTTTGGTACGGCCCTTGGCACTGCCACACGTCCTTATGCGTGATGCGCTGAGACTGGCGGAAACGACTGTAGCTTGAGCTGGACCCATTCCATCCAGGCGACGGTGGTGTGCGCGCCACCCTGCAGCGGCATCTCCCCCTGTCCTGTCACCAATAAGCGAAAGCAAGTTTTCAGCCCCCGCCGCAAGCTGAAACTGCACTCAGCTGTGGCTGAATTAACCGTTTAGGTCACGGGAAAACGACCAAGTCTGACGACTTCAGAGATAGCCTCCCATGCATTGTGCCTCACATTGCGGAGAGCGGACAAGGATAGCAAGGGGTAGATTTGCCCCTTGGCACGTGGCAAGGGGGAGTGGGTCCCTTCACCTCTGGTAGTGCTGCCCCTAAGCGTCTTCATAGGGCTGCTATACGCGGCTTCTGCGCGACCAGGAATGAATGATTCGAGCTTGAGGAGAGGGAAGAAATGAATGAAAGACCTCTTCTGGTTACGTGAGTGACATGTTACAGCGCAATGAACTTAAGATAAATTACATCTTAAGTTGTACGCTTCCATGTGTGGTGCGTTTTAAAAACCCGAACCCGACTGGTAGAGATGTTTGTGGCTGCCTTAAACAGCTTTCAGTGCAGCGTGAAAATGAAACGATGCAATGCCCACAGAATGTTTCGTACAATTTCCTCAGGCACGTAACCGCGGTCTACCTTACGGGGTGAACTGTGAAATTTCGTGCAAAATGTCTGTGAGTTTGGACTAAATTCTTGCAAAATCGCTTCCTACCTAACGTAAACCTTCCAGCTCTGGGGGCCCGTTTCTCTTGGCTTCATTTTGGCTATGCCTCATAATTTTTTTGAATATATTTCGCACATTGTCTGCAATTTTAAACGTCATTGCAGATCAAGCCTTGACATCGGCAAGGTCAAGTGACATAACTTCCCAAAATGAGTGCTTATTGCCGTTATGTATTGAACTAATAAGTAATGTTATACTTAAGTTGTTTCATCAAGCTAATTGTTTTTGATATTTTGGAGCGTTTTAAATATTGAAGGCCATAAAGCGTATAACGAGTGCGTTTGCTTGGTAATAATGACAAAAGCACGGGCTCGGTCACTCAGGGGCCATAATTTGAGAATTGATATCTTCCAGTCCGGTGAACCACTAGCCGAGTACTGGCTAAAAGCCTCTCGCTACCAAAATGAGCCATAGGACGCTTAAAGGTGTGCCAAAACCATTAATTGCACGTGCAAAACACATTGGGACACATTGGTGATGTTATTTAAATCTATCCATACCTTAACAGATATAAGATATTTAATTTTTAAACATTGGCTTTATCGAGTGACTTTGTCAAGCGCAATGAGCTGCTTGGAATTTCAAGATTTTCCGCGGGGACAAAACGTGTGCATAACAATTTTCATCGCTCCGTTCCCCCGTTTTTGTTTTTTTCTGCTTAACCCCAAAAAATTAAGGAAGACGAAACTTTGCCACCCGTTGAGCCCGACTCGGACTCTGCATTCATTTAAATGAAATGTTGATCACGCCCAAACTTGTTAGAAAATGAAGGTCAAGGGATGTGGTCATACCGTATTAAAAATATTTATAGAAGTAAAGTTCAACAAAATTGTCTTTCAAATGGCAATTCGAATCATGATTCCTGGAGCACCGCAGAGCGGGAAAGCACCATTTGGTTTGTTTGCCACATAGCATTATTGAGGCTTTCTCACAGAACCTACTTGTGTGTACTGATTAAACTTGAGCCAGCGCTGGTGCAAATTAAAATCCAATGATCAGACTACGTCGTCCACTATCGGACTTGAGGGTACACGTGGGCTGGAGTCTACGGTCCCAGATGTCGGCGTAAACGTGTACGTCCAAATACGGCAACATTGGGCCATGTCGGGGTAAACAGACCCACGTGATTTATGAGTTTGTGACGCAGTCGCGCCCTGTCCACAGCTGGGCCGCAAGACCCTCATAATGATGTGCTGCGTGCAGAACACGCTCTTGGCCATCGGCGTCACTTTCGTCGGTGACTTCAACTCGTACCTGGTGCTGCGCTTCCTCGCGCGACTCTACATCGAGGTGAGCTCCTGCGGGACCGAGAGTGGCCCGGGCTAGGTGACGCTGCTGCCCCGCGGCTGGGTGGTTCAGGAGACATTGTCAGCGCTCGACACCACCTCCCTGTCTTCCCCGAGCAGCAGGCTATGTGGGTGAAAAGACAGAGTCGACTTCGCTTCCACTGTTGGTGGTGCAGCCACGCCGCTGCCGCTTTTCTGAGCTGAATCTCTGTTTTGGTACTTATTTATGTCACTAAATGTCGACCTTTTGAATTATGCTCTCTTATTTTCATAACCTAAAGATGCGTAGACGTTTGCATGCTCGGTTGAGGTCTCTTTTGGGCCATATTATGCAAGGGCACAGCCAAGAGGGCCGTGCTCTGTCAGCCACTATCCCCCCGTCTGGTCGAAAGGTCCGTTATGGTTTACCAAATGCGAAGGAATAAGGCTCAAGGAGCGTCCGAGTGTATAGGAGCCCGTTTTTACAAAGTGACTGTGTGCCCTTTTTGGCCTTCTTACTTGGATCGAGTAAAAAATATTTTCACTCCAGAGGGAGCTGCGCGTCACTCAGGGAGAATTAGGGAATCTGCCTACACTGAAGTTGTATCCATCAGGGCACCTGATGCGGAAGTCGTGCAGAGAATGCCCTCCAAAAGAGCAGGGGATCCCGGACCCTTTGACCCCGCAATAGGTCGGGGCTCCTCAGTAGAAAGAGACACTCAAGGCCTCAAGCGGCCCCACTTCAAAGGGCTGATCCTGGAGAGCGGGACTCCGTATCAGCTCACTTCTCTCAAAGACGGATACGAGAGGAAGACTTGGATTACGACCTCCTCGAGGCCCGATAGTAGCTTCGAGGAGATCCTCGCTGGCCCCAGAGGAGCCTTACATGAAAGGATTCTCGGTCTTAGATTGTGCCCTAGAGCCCCTTATGCTGAGATCATGCAAAAAAGTTCCTGTTATAATTAAGGGTCCCGAAACGACGAGCAACCAGACCAATGTTGAGTGCCAACTGGCGTGGGAAAGCAGATTTTCGAGGAGACGACAATCAAGCTCCTTATTCTCCAAAGGAACTATCCCAAAGACAACCTACCCCTCCTCCACCCCTTCCCCCATCCCCTCCATCGAGGGAAGATTCCTCAAGATTATCTTCCTCAAGGTCTGAGCTTAAGCTGGTCCCCAAATCCCAAACAGAACCGAGAAGCGACGAAGACCTTCAGGAATACAGCCTTGAGTAACCTTTCCTGGATGGAGGCAGGAGAGGTCCCTTGAGCCAAGGTCTGTTGGCTTAAGGGGGTAGCTAAGGTCAAGGCCCAAAGCGGTGGTCCTTCCTGAGGATTCGGGAATCCTGGGTCATCTCTGACCCCGGAATCCGGAAGCGTTGTTAGGGTCTTGAGGTCCAAGGTGGCTTAGCCACAGTCCACATCTCATGGAAGTGACAGGGGTCCCCGGGGCCTAACGAACCCAGGACGATTTGGCAGTTGAGGACACGTGCAGAGTTTCTAAAATGTCGGAACGAGCTCCAGAGGCATCTTATCAGGATTCTGGGCTTCAGCAGGCTATGGATGGAACGTTTAATGCAGGGAGCAGGGTAAAGATGCTCTCCGTGGGGCTTTGAATCCAACATTCTTGTGCTGTGTCCTTGTGTTTGGCCGAGACATCCCGGCGAGAGTGACGCCCGGTGGGTAGTGCCGCGAATAAGCAACGTCCTTGAGTTTGGTCGAGGCATCCCGGCCAGAGTGCCTTCCGGTGAGAAGTACCGCGAACAAGCTACCTCGAATACACCTAATTGTGTTAGGAACAGACGTTGTGCAAACATTATTGCACACCTTGCGCAATGTCATCGTACGAGGTAATGAACATGTCGATGATTCCCATGTCCATAAACAAGTCTATGGCTTTGGCAGCATGACCCTGAATTTGAAAAGGTGCTCATTATCCGCTCAGAATTCCGAATAACCAGTTTTCAGAAGACGGATTCCATTTCATACCTCGTGATGCAATTCGTAATTCCATTTTTTGTTTTAAAAAAAACTATCCCATGAAGTGTAAGAAACATTCACAGATTTCCAGATGGGATTCTGGCTTATGATCGATATCTTTTACTGAAGGACACATTTCGAACATTGACTATTGGCTTGCTGTTGTTCCGTATGTTTAGCAGTTTGCAGCATACTTTTAACTAACTGCCCTGAGTGGCGACGACCTTGTGCGTGCCAGTCCTCGGGAGACAATCGAGATAAATCTGACAGAATTACTGGTAAAATGCCATTAACGGAATTCAGGCATTCTTGTCCTCACGCTAGGTGATCCACACGCCGCCATGGATCCTATGGGCGTCAGAAATCCCAGATGGCGCCTGGAATCCTAAGTAGCGTCAGATGTCCAAGACGGCGCCAATAATCCAGGGACGTCAGATATCCCAAATGGCACCATGACCTCCATGACATCTAATAACGTATCAACGCAATTGAACAAGAACATATACACGTGCACATGGTGCGTCCTTCAAGTTGCCTTTCCCCGAGACGTATGATCAGTAATTAAGTCAGTTTGACATCTCATCCTTCCTTATTTCTAAGAAGCAACTGAGCTGACAGTCTGCCCCATAAGCCAGTGAATCATCTACCGGACGTGATTTTTGCTTTTACGTTTCATGGCTGCTTGATCTCGTGGAATCATCAAGATTATCTTCAATTCTACGTAGGTAGGGGACAGGACGGACTGTATCAAGATTTACGGCACGTTAAAGTTTTCCTCAAAATTATGTCTAACCTAGAATTTCACCATCTTATGGCGGGGTTAGGACTTACACGACAAGTCTTGTTCAGCTTGCTCCTGGGCATTCCCTTCCGATGGTAGCTGCCCGGTGTCGGGCGCTTGATTCCGTATCAAACGACACCGTACATCCCTCAGCACATCCGCGATCTCTGGCCCCTACTAGAGTATGACTCAGCTGACTTCTAAACATGCCACAGAGTGTGGAGATGGTCACACTAGCTTCTGACACTCCCTTAGCGTGTGCAAGTGGCCAGAACGACCTCTGACCGTGCCTGGAAGGGTGTGAAGGCAGTCGTACTGACCTCTGCCATTTTTCCCAGGGTATGAAGAGGCCGTTGTGCTTGTCGCTGACCCTGCTCCATGGTGTGGGGCCGACTGCTCTGACCCTCGACGTTGCCCTGTAGGATGTGGATGTGGCAGCACTGACATTTGTCTTCGTCTCGCAGGGTGTGGAGGTGGGCGTGCTGGTGCTGGCTGTGGAGCTGGTCCCCGCCAAAAATCGCCCGCTGGCACCGTTCGTACTGTTCGTCGCCTACTCGCTCGGTCACTGCCTTCTGCCGCTGCTTGCGTACTATTTCAAAAGCTGGCGCAACTTTCAGCTGACGATCGCGCTCGGCTCGGCCGTGCTAATCCCCATCACCAGGTGAGCTTCGTTCAAGCTCTTCTGCCAACCTCGCCTTATGACAGATTTTTCACATTCCAGCCGATCCTAGCCGATCAATTTATAATTTGATGCCTCCATTTTTTAACGTGTGCATTATGGACATTGGATAGAAGTGTTCAGATCAAACCAGTGTGATGCAGGCGTAAGGTTATTCCCATTTTTGATATATTTTAGCATTTTGCCTGCGTACACCCTCATTTCCCCTTTCTCCTTCCTCCATATCTCCCTCCCTTTCACTCTTTCGCCTCTCTTCCACCCTATCTCCTTATCTTCACGCCCCTGCGCCTCTATCCACATTTCACTCTCCCTTCTCCTCTCTCTCTTCTTCTCCTTTCTCTTCTCCTCTTCTTCTCTCTCTCTCTCTCTTCTCTCTCTCTTCTCTCTCTCTCTCTCTCTCTCTCCCTTTCCTCTCTCTCTCTCTCTCTTCTCTCTTCCCTCTCCTCTCTCTCTCTCTCTCTCTCTCTCTCTCTTCTCTCTCTCTCTCTCTCTCTCTCTCTCTCTCTCTCTCTCTCTCCTCTCTCTCTCTCTCTCTCTCTCTATCTCTCTCTCTCTCTCGCTCTCTCCTCTCTCTCTCTCCTCTCTCTCTCTCTCTCTCTCTCTCTCTCTCTCTCTCTCTCTCTCTCTCTCTCCCTTTCACCCCTCCTTCTCCTCCTCCTCCATCTCCTCCTCTTCCTCCTCTTACTCCTGGGCTCCCCTTACTGCACGGAGACATGCAGCAATTTGATGCTGGAAAGTGTAGGTTCGCATCCTGATGCTGGCGCAGCTTTTTGGTGCCAGAGTCCCTCAACTGGCTGGTGGCGTCCGGCCGCAAGGAGGAAGCCGAGAAAATCATCCGCCGGGCTGCGCGGTTCAACGGCCTTGCACTGCCTGACAACTTCAGCCTGGATGAGATGGACGACGACGACCACGACAAGACCAAGGAACAAGGGAAGACAGCCTGTAAGTGCAACAGGATCAGAGTGGTGCCTTGTTAGACCGCTGCTCCCTGGCACGCTTGGCTTCCCATCTGTGCTGTAGAGTTGTAGCACATGGTGCTGAAGGTCGGCGGTGAATGGTTGTTCACTTTTCTTTGCTGCCTACGGGGCCATGCACAACGCAACGCAAATGCCTAGGCTACTTCTAATGCTACATACTGCTATTAATGTCACGACTCGCTTCTTTCCTTACATGTTTACTCAGTATCAGGATATTCGGGTGTTACTGACAGACACACTGGAACACCGACACCAGCACCGACTTGGCATTCCATTCACTTTGGCTTATTTTTCCCGCCCTCTCCTTTTCTAGTGTCTCCAAAGGCTTAACATCTGTGGTGCAGTGCTTATGACACGCTGCAGTGCCGGCGGGTCGCGGTTACAAAAGTCCTTGTCGCTATCATAATCAAAGTGGCGATCTTGCCAGAAACTCCATGGCTACATCAAGGACACGGTGCCCTCTGGACGGACGACGTGATCAGTTTTTCTCAGAAGCGATCTGCAGCTCGGTTGGCTTGGGTATGCGCGCTGCGCGGCATTGTTCTTTCACCGTTATGACGGGCGGGTGCGCATATTGCAAGCCTCAGCGTACAGGCTGAAACCGGTCTTGTGGAAGCCTGACATGACTGGGCGGCTTCGCTCATGCCGAGTTACCATCTCGTTTGCGTGCTTGTGGGCTATTGCAGTGAGTAGCAAGATGGATGGAATAAGAAACCAACAAGGAAATGTTGACTACCTACGAATATCAAGTGAAAAGCAAGCCGTCCTCTAGTCCTCCCCATCTGTTATGGAGTGTTGATACCCCACGGCCGCCTCCGGGAGGCGGCTTCTGAACGGCTCGGTGGACAACGATGAAGTTTGCTGTACCTTTTGTTTAGCTTCGAGTCGTTATGCAGATGGAGTAAATGTATTGACCTCTTTTCACAAGAAATCAGCAATCATCTAAGCCTCCCAAAAACGAAGCTGGTAACTGAATGAGAAAATATGCAAAACCGCTGCTCGCTGCTACTGGGCTCGGCTGCGGTGTGCGAAGCATGCTTTAGACTGCGTACTGTAGTCTTACTTTTCTGGCCCATCAAGAGATGCGGAGTGAGTATAGGCATGTCGTTCTCGACTTGCGAAACAGCCAACGTGAAACTGACTTATCTTTCTTTGTACTTATGTTTCCGTTTTAGGCAAGTGAAAGACACATGATCCCGAAAGGTTTATGGATTTTTAGAAACAAATGCTATGCGGACTACCTTTTGCCCATTTGTTAAGTCCACAAGAAGACCGACAGTGGGCGGAGTAATGGCTGTAGAAGACTACAAGGTTTGCACACACTGGTAGAAAATAACTGGAACGGTTGAAGTAAGATAGGCGTTGAAAAAAGTAATTCTATCGTAAAATGTTAAGATTAGATAAATTTTGATGCAGGTTCATGCAACCATTGCAACATTTACCATGCCTCATCCCTACCCGTGTCTACCATTTTGCTTTTGTATATTTTTGAACATGGGGTACGGCATCTACAAGGTAATCGTTACCACCCGGTAGGCTGTTGAAGCGATCAAAACCATTTATAACGTTGAAGGTTCTCCAGAGCAGTGTTCAGGGTTCATAGATGCCAGGCAGGGGTTTTCCACAGATAATCATGAAATGACTATTGTGTCTTAGCAATTCCTCTTCATGGCACTTGTCGCTGTCCATTCCATCAGGGACTGATAGCATGCTTTTTGGTTAGTGACGACATTTCGTTGCACATCAAGACTGTCTTGTATGACCGTGCATAATGATAACATTGAGTGTATTTGCTATATAGTAAACAGAAATAAAGGTGATATGGATATGTTTAGAGCTTAGTCGCATCTTACCAGCGCGGGTTTTGCATGCGGCCGGCCACATAGACTGATTGCATATAACACCTCACGAAGAAACTGTGAATGGAAAACAGCGTACGGAACCATGTTAATTTACTCAAGATAGTTACTTCACATGCACCATATAACAAATTACGAATGTGATATTTTAGAGCATTGATTGATGAACTACACTTTCTGGCATTTGCCACTATACATATGGAATGAGGCTGTTGTTAACACAAACAGTATGTTCATAAAGGTGCTGTTATTGGTACAAATCTTGATTTTGTTGCTTGAATTTGCACATGTTTCCCCAAAATAGCTCTACATAGCTCTACGCAGCTTTATATCTACACCAACTTCCATGGGCAGGAACTATAAAAACGTGCCCGTAGCCAAATGGATTTTGGCATACGAAGTGAAGATGGCGCTAGTTTTTTTTAACTGAACTGATATAGCTATTTTGAAGATCATTCAGCGCAACTGATAGTCATGCCCTTCTTAAAACTTTAAATCCTCTTGTTTTTAAGCTTGACGCAGACAAACATGTGCAGACTATCTCGCGCAGCCTATTTGAAGGTTACTTAAGCATGCATGACATTACATATTTCATTTTATATGCATCATAGATCATTCCTGTAGCATGTTTTGTGCCACAGGAATTCGGAGAGCGGTACTAGTTCTGACGGGAATCGAATAAGTCTGGGAATCAAATTCTTTAGTAGAGCCGTAAGCAGGTACGTGAAGGCAAGTAAAACATATAGCGACACTGACACACATACAAGAACACCACGAGAAAGGGCCACAACACGGGCAGATAACGATATTCAGGCTCAGCAAACACGCACCAAGAAACACCGGCACCTTTCAACAAGCTGAAGTACTACAAGCGATTCAGCCCGTCCTCGTCACTGGCAATTCTGACACGGCCAGGCTGGCAGTGAATCTGGCGTAATGAAAACGTTCCAAGACGTAATCAAACGATGACACATCGAGGAATATTTATGCTGAACGGTAAAATTTCGCTGTTTGAAATTTGTCTTCTACACTGCAAAGCGCACACACACACACACACACACACACACACACACACACACACACACACACACACACACACACACACACACACACACACACACACACACACACACACACACACACACACACACACACACATATATATATATATATATATATATATATATATATATATATATGCATACATGTATATATTGTGGGTGTGGGGGGGGGGGTGCGTGCGTGCGTGCGTGCGTGCGTGCGTGCATGTGTGCGCGTACCTGCGTGCGTGTGTACGTGTGTGTGTGAGTGTATGTGTGTAAGAAGCCATTCAGCTGTCTCCAGTGAGTGAAAGACTAACATTCTTTCTGTAAAAATACAGTTCAGTTCTATTTGAGCCTGCATCATCCTAGACAAACGTTCGTTCCTTTTCTGTCGCTAAACCTAGAAGTCGACACATGTGCATTGGTTGTTTAACGGCCCCGCCAAGAAACTTTTTAAAGGGAATGTTCCACGTTTCAAGATGATGAAGCAGGCACCAGATATGAAAAATTAAGCTCACTTATAACTATTGATATACTTTAGGTGGAAGTGATTCCTCCAGACAACACGATTTCTCTGTTCAGTAAATAAGCTCTTCAATCCGTCATTGTTTGATTGCGTCATCGTACCTTGCACACAGTAATTGGGTGACAAATATATCTGCAATTATACAGCTTGGGCCTTGATCGCCGCATGAGTAATGTAACGGTAATAACGAGTAATATATCAATCTGCCTTTTCTCACTGAGCCTCTGATACATCACATCTTTACTCCACGCACTCTCCAAGCCAACAGACTTGGCGTCGTTAATCGCTTGGCCCAGTGAGTTTAAGTGGTTGGATAGTCCACCGATGCTCTTTTTGTCCTAATGATTGATAAATGCTTTGCCGAACTATAAAGTCCGATGTTGTGAGTACCACGGTGTGCGCCTGGGAGATCTGATCTCCCGAACCGCCCCTTACCTACTCAGCCTGGCCTTTCCCCTGATTCCATCACATGACATTGTCAACTGTGCGAACGTTGCCCAGTCTGGGTGATATCCGAATGACCTCCGACCTGAATGACCAGAATGACCTCTGACGGACTTACAGCATCCATGAACATCAGCCGGACATAGTCTGACCGACCTCCGACTGACCTCAGTGGGATGTACTAAACAGCTGTGTAGCAATATCCGAAACGCCTCGAGCCGACATCTAACTGGCCCCTGACTGGCCCCTGAATAACCTCACGCTGACATTTAATTGACCCCTTGAGTGGTCCCTGGAAGACGATCGACTAATCTCGGACGAAAACCCAGGCTGGTCTCTGGCTGAGCTCCTGCTGACCTCTTTCTGACCTCTTCCTGACCCCTAACTGACCTCTGATCGACCCCTGACCCCCACCTGGCGCCGCCGCAGGTGCGACGGCGGCCCATCGCCTGCAACGGCGCGTCACAGGCATGAATGGGCGCGCCAAACAGGGCGCCGGTGACTTCATGCAGCACGAGATCCACGCTCACCTGGGCCAGTGGGCCAGGCTCTTCGATATGATGAAGAACGGCCAGCTGCGGAAACACTTCATCATAGTCTCCTACGTGTGGTGAGTCTGGTAGCGTGCTGCCGGTGGTGCGGTGTCATGGTGTCATGTGCTGACGACTGCTTGTGGTGGGGTGTCATGGTGTCATGTGCTGTCGACTGCCGGTGGTGGGGTGTCATGGTGTCATATGCTGACGACTGCCGGTAGTGGGGTGTCATGGTGTCATGTGCTGACGACTGCGTGGCGACGTCCCACTTGTGGCTATGAGATAGCCCTGCTGAGTCTCTGCGTACTGAGCAGGCAGGCTGGTGGGTTTGTTCCCATTCTTTCTTAAAATTTTGCCCGAAAATTTTGATTTATGGATTTTTGGGAGCAGGGTCACACAATGCAGTTTTTGTGCCCTACCTCCAGCACCTGCTTGTGAAATTCAAGTTCGATGGCAAGAATTTCGCCACGGCATTTTATGGTTATGTATGTGTGGCCACTTTGACCGTGAGGCATGATGGCTGCTCTGTCGGGATGCTTTGTACTGACTGGTTTGTGTCAGCAAACACGTGCCCAAGAGACTCCATGTACCAGATCGTCCTCATTTGCCCCAGTCAAACGAGCTTAGCTAGCTGAGTTCAGTACCTCAGCTAGGTCAGTTTGCTAGAAATCAGCATGTTTCAATGATAGGGTGCAAAGTATTGATATTGAGCTTGGAAAGCAATTTTTCGACTATTGTGACTGCTACTATGGCAAGGAGGTGCATCGGAAAAGTCTTTCTCGATGAAAGCGGCTATCACAATGTTTGCGGCCCCGAACCTCAATTATTTCGATAGCAGATTAGTTTTTTTTATCTCGCTATTATCGTCTTTAGTTTGTATTACTATGTGGAAGTTTCCATGACATGTCGGCATTTTTGTGATATGCTTTGGTGTCGTGGCTGATCCACTACCATGCAATGTGTAGGCATGTGTCTGCTTACAATCTCATTTCGGTGTAGGCTGTCCGCAACGTTTTTTGGCGGCACCAAAATGCTTCGTAAGGCAATGGGAAGCCGCCAGAGTTGTCAGGCCTTCAGCAGTTTCAAGTAAAGCCCCCTAGCCGCTACCCGGCGCCGGGTGAACAGACGGAGACTCAGTGTGAGGGGACGAGAACACGCTGAGTTTGACCGTCGCTGGTGGCAGGGCGGTGGTCGGCTTCCTGTACTTCGGCCTCACCACCAGCACCATGGAGTCCAAGGGCAACGTGTACCTCAACTACGGCCTGTCGGGTCTGGTAATGATCCCGGCCTGCGTGTCCGTCTTCCTCATCCTGCGCAGGTAAGCCACCCCGAACTGAGAACGAGGGACAGAGACAGTAAGGCTAACGGGGCGGGGAGAGAAAAGGGTTAGGGTGGAAGATTGACATGGTCAGGGGATAACGAAAATAGTATGAAGGTGTGAATGTGATTAATCGAGTGATTGAGTGAGTGAGTGAGTAATTGAGTGATTAGCCGATCGGGCAGTGGGGTGTGTCGTCAGCAGTAAAACCAAGTGAGACAGAGAAATTATTTGGCGCAGGAGTCCAAAAGTACAAAGCATAGCAAAAGTTCTTCCCAAAAACTTAAATTCGTGAGGCGCGAGTCGATCGAAATATCGCCGTAAGTCGACGCCCGGCGTTGCGGTCACCCGATGCTGGGCGGCGTTCGCCGCCGCAGGTAACACCAGGCCGTGGGCGGCAAGCGGCAAAACATACCTTTGCGTATAGAAATGATGCTACCGAATGTTCCTTAAGCCGTCGTACGAGAATTTCCCGGTCTAATGTCTAATATGCGGACCAGGCATAGCCCGATTGATTGCCATTTGGCGGAAACTTTATGTGCTGTCGAGTATGAACTCGTACGAGTATGCTGGTCAATATTGCTTTAGACTTTCACTTCTCGAAGACAACTCACGTGATGCCAACAAAACTATGCCAAATCATATGCATAGCATATGATTCAGAATAATTGTCTGATGTATAACTTAATGCATACAGCAAGTTCTGCAGCCTGTACCACGGACGTAGAGGGGGGGGGGGGGGGGGGGGGGCAGGCGGTAGGGTGACCCCATGCACATCTTGCTCCTTGCCAAGCCTGTGTATTCGATGCACCGGCCCAAACAGAAGATACTCACAGACTGGAAACCCAAAACGCGTGTTGGCAGAGATCGCACGGTAGCAGAACTACCGTCGCAGCTGGGCTACACATATTGTTGAAGCTCCAGGTCCAGTCCCAGACGTCATCGGCAGTGCGGCACTGGTCGTGCTCCTAGTATGAACCAGATAGGGCGAGATGGCCAGCGATGCCGGCACTTTGTCCCGCAGCTCGCAGTCGCTGAGGTCCCGCAGCGGAGGCTCTGTGACTGGTCCGTGCAAGGGAATCAGTTCTGTGTACCTCACGGCCTCGAAGTTTACCGCTGAGATGGCGAAGACCCTGGGTTGAAGATGACCCTCGGTTTGCTGCTCACGAGCGGCGCGACGATCGGAACCGCTTGTTCGCGGACCATGAGGTTCTTATCCCACACCATGTCCAGCAGCAGCTGTTTCGGGCGGACCCAGTATCAGCTACGCTGGAGGACTATATGTGCTGCGGCAGGTCGCGGAACACCGCAATGCTTCGGAGCAAGTTACGTAAGCCAAAGTCGCAGCCGCTGTTTTGCCGGATGGTAGACCATACCGGCACATAGCAGCCGACCACGCACTGGACGATGTCCTTGAGAGCTGTGCTGGAGGTCTCGATAGAGATGTGAACTAGGAGTAGGCGAGCGGCTAGTGTCAACCATCTGAAAACAAAAGCGTATATATTGGAACGATTCGCTACGAACTGAGCATCAAATAATGGGAAAATTATTGCACCGCTTTAATGTATGCAATCATACCGATATCCAGAGTCCTTAAATGCGACGGAATACATATAAACAAATATGCTAGTAAGCATGAACCAACCAGCAAATCATGCGACATAACATGGCACAGGGTATGATTATAGCTAAATGCTCAACAGTTAGCACACGTAATGAAAATTGATTCTTGATGAACTTTAAACATTCATTGCTATAACTTCGAAGATAATGCGTTATCATACTCACCTGGCTCGATCAACGGTCCGATTCGCCGCTGGGCCGCCGTATTTCAGACAGAGCCGTTTTGAACGCTGGAGGCCAGAAGGTACAGCAGCTGCTGGTTGGTGCTCAGCTGCTGAATCAGGTCGACCGGCAGGTTTGGCACGGGCCCCGACCTAGGCTTGAACACCACAACGTCCTCCTCCCAGACCTCTCCGGCACAGGCCTTGCCGATGGGTCCAGAAAAAGTTCGATCCCATGGCTGTGCCACCCAGGCTCAGCAGCAGATGGAGGAAGTTCACCTCGCTGCTGTGCAGCTGGCAGACGAACCAGCGAACGGGTGACTCGGTGGCCAGCTCAAACGGCCGGAACACGTCGCCTATCGTTTCGGTGTTGACGGCCGTGCCATCGCAGCCAAGCACATTGATTTGACCATCGCCCTGCGGGCTCACGGAGTGTAGTTCGTTGAATAAGTGCAGGGCGCGGCCGAACTCGGGCGTAAAATGAGTCACGTAGCGGCTGCCTGGCTCAGTGATAACAACCACGTGTTTCTCGACGGCATTCGTCTGGCTCCGTGCGGCTCATGTAGCTCCTGCCTTCGCGACCGTCGGTTTCTTGCGCTGCAGATTTTCTTAGGATCTACGATATTTGATTTCAAGTAGCCTGTCCGTGTCTGCTGTCTTGTTGAAAGGCGTTGATGATAGCAGCATCGGCCCGGTTCGAGCCACTGTAGGTGTCAACCGCCTGTGCGGTGTTAGTCAGATCTTTAGCGTTATAATCCACAGTGGCAGTGGCCTCAACCGGAACGAGCACTCGGCGTCGTCGTCACCTTCTACCATGTACGGAACCGTGTAAGAATCCGTGCTCTCGGCTGACTCGCCAGCGCTGGGACCACTTGGTCACCTCGTTGTTCACCTCGGAGCAGGCTCGGCTCCGTTGAGCGAATCCGTTGTTCACACCGGAGCAGGCTCGGGGTCAGCACTAGCAGCCAGCGCTGGTTTAGCAGGCGGCGCGGGCTCAGCAGTCGGCGGGGAAGGCGACTCGGTTTCAGCAGCAGACACCGCCTGACTGGTGACCCAGCCACGACGCCCCTGGAGTTGTCTGGCCATGCTCCGCATCTCGCGAGCCTCCCTGGTCACACTCGTATCCCGGCCATGTGACCCCAGGGTAACCTTCCGGCGCCTGCCCTGGTTCTTCATGCCGACCTCCTCCTGATACCCTGTGCAGGCAACTGGGCATGGAAAACTGCACTGGAGCCTGCACTTGCATTTGGTGACATCAAGAAGCTTGTTGAATTTCGCAGTGGCGGCGTTACTCTGCCACCCTCTTTCTTTCGTTGATTTCGTGCTTATAGCCCTGTTGGGATGAATCAATCTCTCGATAAACCTTGTCACGTATTTTAGATCATGAACAGGGATTGCTTTGTTAGTCCACAGCACCCCGATTTCTTCCGCCGCGGTCTTAAAGATGGTATTAGTGAGATTCCTCTTCGATTCGCTCATCCACCTGAAATAGCTCAAGGTTTTCCCGTAGTCGGCAGTTGGTGGTGGGACAGTGGAGCAGGGTGGCCTGTCACAAAAATGTTTTGTGCGCGACCGTGTAGCCTTCGGTATGCTTATGCAAGTAATTGTTCAAAAGAAATGTTCCAGCACCGAAAAAACTAAACTTATAAAACCACATCGCCCACGCAAAAAACACATAAATTGCAAATGAACATCACAATGATGCGTTAGCGGTAACAAACTTGAACCTAACCCGGACTGCTAGAGCATTCTCATAACTGCACAGCTTTGGGTTTTACGAAAAATAATGTTATTTTCTAAAAAGTCAGCTCAAAAGCTGTTTGGCAATGTTTTGCTGGTGTTCTTCATAATATTTATTTCATATTTAATTCGCCAAATACCAGTAGTGGGTAAAGTGGCAGGTTTGAGGCGTGTTGGAGGATAATCCCAGTGCGTAAAATAGATGGCGCTAGTATCGAATACGGTTTTCTTGGCCATCAAAGAAAAACTGCCCTCACTCCACGAATATCAACATTGGTGCGGCGCGACAGACCTGACAGTTTATCGCTAATCCGTGTGCCAAGGAAAAACTTGGCCTCGGCTGATTCCAAGAGATTCACCCATTCGATGACACACCCTTTGGACGGTTTATTGATTCATTGGTTGATTGATTGATTGATTGATGATTAATTGCTTGATTAATTGATTGGTAGATAGACTGGCTGACCGACTGGTTGGTTGATTGATTGATTGGTTGATTAATTGATTGATTGGTTTGATGATTTAATAACTGAGTGAGTGAGTAGGTGAGTAAGTTAACAAGTGAGTGAGTGAGAGAACGAGTATGTGTATGAGTGCGTGAGTGTGAGCCATCAATCGATGTGCGAGTGAGTGAATAGGTGAATGAGTGAGCAAATAGTTATGTGAGTAGGTGGATTTGGGTCATCATTTGATTAACAGAGCGAATGGTGAAAAAAATGATGACGAAGAAAGGGAGAGAGGAGGGACTAAGTAGAGCGATGAGGTGCTTGCAGCACACAAACTAAGCTAAGCACGTAGTGAGCTCATAAAAGCAGGATCTATATGGTTTTGTATATATGGCTTAGTATATATGGCTCTGACTGACTGGAGTTGAAGAAAACAAATGTAGAGCAAAGCGGCTTAGTGAGTTATGCTCCAAACGCAACGAATGGAGGAGTGGTTGATTTTTCATTCCATCTGCATCTGGTTGACTTGCAGACGCAGATCACACATTTTTCATAAGAAACTTTGCACGCAGTCTTATTCGAGAGGCATCTGCGCAGCAAGATGTGCCGCATGATGGCACTGAAACACGCCCCAGGTGATGCGCGTCAAACAGCCAACCTTATCGATTTCAGAATGTTGGCAGGGAATGCCCGTGGCGCCACAGTGCTTTACTAGCGGCGAACTGTTTCGCGCCATATTTCGGTGATCAGCTGCCGTCTGGTCGCTGCCGCCGTCCGCGGTCCGGTCAAACAGATGCTCGGCGGGGCTGTAATGTTTAAGGCGGTGTCAGCGCCAAAGCAGCCTCATGCGGGTCACAGGTGCTTGTAAGCACATGTGGCACGCCGTGCAGACATACCTGGACCGTAGTCGTTTCCCGACCTCTGTGGCTTATTGGTTCCCGGCGGGCCAACGGCGCGCAAGATGCACACTTCTGTTCTCTAACTACTTTGACGGTCTCATCATCGTCGTACTTTAAGTCACGCTAGTCGG